AAGAGTTGGGACTTAAAAAAAAAAAAAAAAAGAGTTGGGCCTTTAGACACGGGTGTGGGGGGTGGGGAGGTACCTTGGTCCTGCCTCAACGAGATGATGGACAGACTCAGTAGACTTCCTAGGGGAGGCCTTACCCTCTCCAAGGAGCAGATGGGAGGTGGGGTGGAGGGAGTGGGGGGAGGTGGAGGAGAGGAGGGAGGAGGATTTGGGATTGGAATGTAAAACATAAATAAATAAAAAATGTTAAAAAAATAAACAAATAAAAACCAAAGCAGAACAAAACAACAACAACAAAAAGAGTTGGGGCTTTGTGAATGAGCCCTACAGACCATCCACATGGCAGACAGGACCAGGCAAGCAATGTTGGGTTTGCAAGGGCAGGAGAAAAATACAGGAGGTGGGGCTTCCAGCTGCACAGATCTGCAGTTGCACTATGTGGACCCCAGACTGAAGATGGAAGCCTCACAAAAGCAAACGTGATGCCGGGTAGGTAGACAGAAGCACTGCCTATAGCACGCGCTGCCAGTTCAACCCAGCTAGGTCAGATTACAGTGGTGTCAGTGTCCCTGACTGCCCAGGGGCCAACCCAACTCTGGGTGACTAAGGGTCACGGTTGACCCAGCAGCCTGGGGTCACTCAGTGGACTGCATCTCAGCCCCACAAGTGATCACTTTGCTGAGTCCACATGTTGCTGGAGGCATGTCATTACTCGTTGAAACAGGACAGAGTCTCAGGAGGCTGATGCTCTGCTGATGAGGCTTCTTTTCTTCCAATTCCAGTCCAAATGCTCCTTTTGATTTGAACCCATCCTGTTTCCCCATTGGATGGCTGCCTTCTGCCTTAGTTGGCCCTTGTCTGGGATGGGATTATCCCAGATGGAGCTGGTCTTCTGGTGGTCCATAAGTTTCCCGAGGGTAATAAGGATAGCACTCTTGGAGTCTGAATCCTTTACTGACATCTTGCTGGGGCCTCCTATGTAAGGGGTTTTACGATGGCTGGATTCAATGACACTAAATTCGGACCAGCCCTTGGAGCTACACTGGGTTTCCATGAGGTCACATCCTTATAGCAGAAGGGGCTTCCCCTAGTCCCTGTTGTTACAGAGCGTGCTTTGGGGTGAGTGATGAAGGACCCTTTAAGCTAGTCTCCAGCTGGTTGCTGAAGAAATGAGTGAAATCAAGGAAAGTTTCAACACAGAGCCTGGAACAGCCTCATGCCTAGGCTTCTGAGACATCAGAAGCAAAGACAAGTCAAGGCTGAGTCAGGCCTGGGCAGGTGAGGAAGAAAGAGCCTGCATTTCATTGAAGATAGGGTTTTGATGGTGGTGTTTCTGGCACAGTGATGAGAAATCCTGAGTACTAACTGCAGGTTTCTGTGGAGTGAGCTGCAGGAGAAGTGCCCCACGGAAGCCACACCTGAAGCCCACTCTGCCCTGTTCTGGTCACAGGTCTTTCTCTCTGATGACCTAGAAGCTGACCCTGCCCCATTCCACCTCCTCAAGCTGGGCAGGTTGTAGTTATCAGAGATCTAGGATCTGGACTCTTGGGAACAGTTGGGAAAGTCCCTGCTGTGTCAGCCAATAGCATTGTCACAGAGCAGGGACTTCCATTCTAAGCCTGTCATGCCTTGCCTACACAGCTCCCTGCAGAAGGACATGTGCAGCTCCTGACTCAAGCTCTGCTCCACGCCTTTCCCAAAAGCCATCTGGGCAAGCAGGGAGGGCATAGAGTCTTCCTGTAGTGCCCTGGCCTTAGAGAACAGTGACAGAGACAATTGCTGGGAGAACAAACTGGTGTGACAACAACACTACCAGCTGTCACAGGCTATGAATTCTTTCTTCACTCTAGGTACTCGTTCCAGCCCTTTCCATTTTCTCCATCATTTATGCTCTACCTTCCAAGGTGGGTCATGTATGCTTGACAGGTGAGGAAACCCAGGCCTGGAAGAAATGACTTGCCCAAGATCACAGAGGCAGGAAGTAATGAGGTTGTCACACATGAAGGTCCATGATGCATAATAGCTATTGGGAAACATTGGACTTCCTCTGTCTCCTGGGGACTTGATCCCAGGAACTATTTTTAAAAGATGGATGTCAAGTCTTACAGCTGGCCACCCTGGGGTCCACCAGGATAGCCTTTGTTGCAGCATTCTTTCCCAGGGATCAGAGCAGATCACCTATGAAACTTCTTTACCTCCATCATCTTTGCCTGTGCATGACATCCTGGATCAGCAAGTTCTCTGTAATGGGTCCCATTTCCCAAGTGAGGAAACTGAGGCTACTGATGCCTGATGAGCATCAGACAGAAGAGAGGGAAGGGTTGCTACCAGACCTTCAGCTTTGTGCCACAGCAAGTGCCTTTCCTGCCTTTTCTCCTGTGGGGTGAGGCTGCTTTGTGGGTGTGGGGGTGACTCACGTAGGGCACGTGGGTGGTGGGTGTGGCCTGCCTGGCTCTGAGGGCAGGTGGCCCAGCCAGTTCTGCCTCTGATGCTTCATTCCAGCTGTCAGCTGTCTCTGTGCCTATGATGAGAGCCTCTCGTCTTCTCAGCCACCTTCCCGATGGTGGTGTTTTAGCCCCAGACATGCGGTGATCTCAAACCAAGGCCTGCCACCACCACCTGGAACCTTCCAGGTAAGTCCTTGTCACCTAGGGAAGCCACTATCCTCCAGAAAGACTACAGCATAGGTGTGGGATCCTCCAGGCTATTTCTGCTCTTGGCCCATGGGCCTCAGGAAGATGGGGGTAGAGCTGGGGTTCTAGTATGGGGAAAAAAGGCAACCAACTTTTGACAACAGGTAGGCAAGAGAATGCAGGCTCTGATAGGCCCAGGAACTTGTCCTTGAGGTTTGGGAATCCAAAGGAGAGAGAAACTCTAGAGCTTGTGTTCCTCAGCTAGCTTAGGGATGGGAATCTCCATGGCAGGAATGTGATTGGTGTTCAAGATAGAATGAGTTAGCCCAGCACTGAAGAGGGACAGGGCCCAGACGCTCACAGGTATTGACATAGTAGCTATGGAGGTCTCCCTGTGGCCTCTGCCTAGTCTGTGTCCCTAGGACAGGCCATTTCAATCAGTGTCTAGGGCCCTGGCAGGTGTGACATGGTACTTCCCAGGTGAGGGAGCCGGATCCCAGGGCAGGGAGGGAGAGAGTCCAGCAGGTGAGGATACAAGGCGTATAAAGGTGACTCAGGAGCTAATTATAGCTGCTGGAGTCCGAGTCCACATTGTCCTGACCCCCACTTGCCCCAGCTGTTCAGAATAGCTCACACTCATGGGCTTAGCACAAGGATGGAGCAGTTGGTGTCAGCTCTTTCTCATGAGGGAAACCAGAGGATGAGGGAGGGTGAGGCAATCTCTGTCCACTTTTGCTTTTGGCCCAGCAAAGCTTTTTTAGCTTTATATGTCCACTGATTGCTTTGGGTAGAGGCAAGTATTGAAGGGTACCCATCTTGCTCTGACTGTGATGGATATAGGCAGGGGTTGGGTGTTACTTCTATATCTAAGTAAGTTATCTGAGGTGACTTAAATTGCGGTTGGTTCTGACTGCCGAGTTAACCTCTTGTCCACACTACCTTTCCAAATGTATCCAATCTTGGGTGGCTAGCAGCTTCTTCCTCCTCCCCAAGATCTCCATGCCAGCTTCTTCCTGGCCCCAGGACATTGGTCTTCCCACATCTATGGCCTGTTCTCCTTCAGGCTCAGTTATCTGTGTAGCCTGAAGCCTTCCTTAGCTCCTTGCTTCCCTGGCATCAATCTCAGCTTCCAAGTTATGTTTGAGGGTTTCACAATGTAGCTCAACCCATTGCCAAACCCTTCTCTGCCAAGGATCCCCATGAACTCATCCAGGGTCTCCAGCTCCACTGGCTCCTTGCCTCTCATTGAACTGTCTTGAGCCCTGGTCATTATGCAGGCTGTGCCCCCAGCTTAGATAGCACTACTGCTGCATCCCCGTCTTTAAACCTCCCTCTGAGAAACATTCCCTTGTCTCTTTGGAGGGTTGAGTGGTACCTTTTTCTAACTCAGCCCATAGGGATCATTAGTAAAGCATGTTTGGAGTGAAGGGTTGGCCTTCTGTACCCCGGGGTAAGTGACTATTCTTCTTCTAAGCAAGAGGGAGTCTGACAGGGTGCCAGTCATGGTCTGGCTGTGCTTAGCCTGTGGGGAAAGGCAAGAGAAGTAATCAGTGGGGAAGCTGCAGAGACTACCTGTAGGTGCTGAGAAATTCAAACCCCCAGCTGTGTTATTCAGAGTAGAGACTAGAGAAAAGGAGGTGACGCTGGTGTTCTGTTAAGGTCAAAGAAGTGCCACCTTTTTTTTTTTTTTTTTGGTTTTTTTGAGACGGGGTATCTCTGCGTAGCTTTGGAGCCTATCCTGGCACTCGCTCTGGAGACCAGGCTGGCCTCGAACTCACAGAGATCCTCCTGCCTCTGCCTCCTGAGTACTGAGATTAAAGGCGTGCACCACCAACGCCCGGCAAGAAGTGCCACCTTGACACAAAGATCTGAATACAAAGTCTTGGAGGTGTGTGTGTGGGGGCATTGAGAAAGCAAGTTTAGTCTCAGAAGTCTATCAGAGAGTGATGGGGCTGGAGACGGTAATGGGAGCTCAGAGGCAGGATGGTTCTTTTCTGGACACTATGTTTGGCTCTCCTCAGGCTTCAGAAGCAGGAGACGTGCCTAAGAAAGGCTGACAGTTTGCAAAGATAGGGTGTTAGCTTCCTGTTGGAGAGGTATGATCAGGAGGTAGATGGTACCCTATGGGATTCTGAAGCCCCCGGAAGTTATCTCCCACCCACTCAATCTCAGCATATTCTTGGGCTCCAGCAATGAATGCCCACTCCAAGGAGATGGTGCCCCTCATGGGCCGAAGAACCACTGCACCCAGCGGGAACTCCGTTGTGCTCACAGAGAAGAGGCCAGCAGACCTCACCCCCACCAAGAAGAGGTAAGACTGAAAGCTTGGTCCTGAGCTTTATACAGCAGGGGCCTCTGCAGGCACCCACTCCGGGGATCCTGTGTTTCCCATAGCTCAAGACTCTGAGTGTCACCTGGGGTGGCTTGATGACAGACTGCATATAACTTGGGGCTGGGGAGCATTACTGCATATTCAGCTACCTTTGATAAGGTCTTCATGACTGTCACAGGGATGGGCTCTTCTTTTTAAAAATAATTTATTTATTCTTTTTTGTTTGTTTGATTTTTTGAGACAGGGTTCCTCTGTGTAGCTTTGTAGACCAGGCTGCCCTAGAACTCACAAGAGATCTGCCTGCCTCTGCCTCCTGAGTGCTGGGATTAAAGGTGTGTACCACTACTTCCCAGCTTAATTTATTTATTCTTTTAAATTTTATTTTAAATTCCAGCCACAGTTTTTCTTCCTCCCCTCCCATCCCCCTTTCCTCCCCCCCAGCCCATCCCCAGTCCATTCCTCTTCATGGGTAATCGCTTGCATGAGGAGTCAACAAAGTCTCACACAATAGGTTGGGGCAGGGCCAAGCCCCTCTCCCATGCATTAAGGCTGAGCATTTCATTCCACCACAGGGAATGTTCTCCAACAAGTTAGCCCATGTATCAGGTTTGTATTGTGGTCCTACTGCCAGGGGCTCCTCTGATAATCCAAGCTTCACAGCTGTCTTCCATATATAGAGGGCCTAGTTCAGTCCCCTGAAGTCTCTAGCCTTGGCTACAGTTCATGAGTTTCCACGAGCTTGATTCAGCTGTCTCTATAGATTTCTCCATCATGATCTTGACCTCCCTTGCTCATATATTCCCTCCTCCCTCTCTTCAACTGGATTTCTGGAACTAGGCCTGGTTCTTGGTTGTGGATCTCTACGTCTGGTTTGGGAAGGAGTCTTCTTAGATGGGATAGAGGGAACTGAAGAAAGAACATTCAGGAAGGTTCCTGGAGGGATAAGGGTTGCTGAAGCCATTCTTGAGAACAGGAGTAAAAAGGTAGGTGGCATTCTAGGTAGTCTGGATCCTTGGCTAGACATGTTTTTCTTACATACACAAGTGGCTTTCAGTCTGCTGTGGAATCAAGTCTGTATAATGGGTTGTATTGGGAAAACCTGGGCAGGCAGAAGGTACGTGATGGATTCAGTATTGTGCAAAGTATAAATTACTGGGACCTTATAGAAAAAAGTGTGTTTTGGGAGGCAGCATAAAAGGAAAATCCTGGCATGAAAGGAAGGAGGTAGATGTTTTGGATTAAGCTGGATAAAGGTGGCTGTTGCTAACTAGAATATACCGGCTTTTCTCTTGGCCACTCTCAATGAACAAACTGGGCACACAATACTCTTGGCTCAGTATTTTCTTTTCTTTCTTTCTTTTTTTCTTCAAGATAGGGCTTTTCTGTGTAACAGTCCTGACTCTTCTGGAACTCACTTGGTAGATTAGGCTGGCTTCCAACTCACTGAGACTTGCCTGCCTCTGCCTCCCAAGTGCTGGATTAAAGTTGTGGGCCAGCACCACCCGTACTTTTAATATTTTATTTTATGTGCATTAGTGTTTTGCCTGCATGTACATCTGTGTGAGGGTGTCAGATCTTGGAGTTACAGAGAGTTGTTAAGCTGCCAAGTGGGTGCTGGGAATTGAACCCATGTCCTCTGAAAGAGCAGTCAGTGCTCTTGATCATTCAGCCATCTCTCCAGCCCCTGAGTATTTTCTTTTGAGATAGGATCTTGCTATGTTTCTCAGGCTTGTCAGGTACTTGATACATAGCCAAGGAATCTTGAACTTAGGATCCTCCACCTTCTGAGTGCTGGGGTTACAGATGTGCAGCCCCATGTTCAGCTTCAGTTGTGGTAATGGCTGTGTGCCTCATAGGGCTTCAGATGCATGGCAGGGTCACCTGGTGGGAAAAATGGAGATTATGAGCCAGATGGCTATATAGTTGTGCTGAGCTGGATATCTATATGAAGACACTACTAATGGCATCAACTTACAAGACACAGTTAATTGCCATTGTGTTGATGAAGTGGTTAGCACAGACAAGGGGATCAGTGCAGAGTGTGTGTTGACTTTAATAGGATGGGGCTCCTGGGATCTGGGCAGGGCTGGAGTGCTTTTGTCTCACTTCTAGGTTGAGGATGCTGGGACAGAGAACAGACTTCAGACCTCCATGGCTGATCTTTTTGGGCACCTCTCAGTTGGGCCAAGTTACACCAAGAGGCTAGTTCAATTATGGTTTCCCTGGACCCAGGGTGGTCCACAGTCTAGGATGGCTCATTTGTCCTGCCTCCTCTGCCCCCACACCAGCCCTCCTCTTGGGCCATTGGAGAACTTGGTTTCTTCTGCCTGTTGGTTAAACTCAGAATCATTGAAGTTTACTGTGTGTCAGGGGACAGACACCTTAACACAGAGATAAAGAACACCCACTCTTGTTCATAGTCTGAGTGGGGGGACACAAAGGGGGATGCGAGAAGTGTCTGGAGTAAGTAAAATAAACTACAACAGAGGAGGACTGAGGAGGGACAGGCCATTCTGAGCCCATGGGCAATCTGGAGTACTTCATAAGAGGGAGTGTTATTAGAGTGGGTTTTGGTAGGTGGAGTTGATAAGAAAGGGTATGCAGGGCAGTGGGACAAGAGAATGAAGGCTGAGAGCATGGTCTAAGGAGTTTTAGTAGCTGATGCCCTGGGTAGAAGAGCCACATGGAGACAAGTCCTATTAGGGCCAGGTCTTGGGGGATATCTGTTAAAGTACACGGATGATCCTGAGGACAGTGGGGGAATCACAAGGTGATTTCCTGAAGGAGGATATAGCGAGATAGGAGCTTTGGAAATGTTTCTCTGATTGACCCATGTGGACCATGTGTTCAAGAAGGGAGACTGAGGGCAGGGAGACCTTGAGGAAGACGTTGGGAAATGGGTGATAGGTGGTGAGGTCTGAGACTGGTTGGTTAGGGGTGGAGGAAGAGATGGATGAGAGTGGAGTCAGTCATGGGATCTTCTGGGGGCAAGAAGGGAGAAGGAAGAGCCAGATGATATACCCATCTGGTATATCTGGGGTAACTTAGGAGGACGGCAGGTTACCTTGGTCAAGAGCCCACCAAAGAAGCAAGGGCAGGAATGGTGAACCAAGGTCATGTGTGAAGTACCAAGTAAGAGGTGCCTAGATGATACTAGACAGAGTTTCCATCCTGAGGTTCAAGAAAGAAAGCTAAGAGGAGTTGAGCTGAGACAGGTGGCATGTGAGTTGGGGAAGCCTGGATCTACATAGACCCATCTAGGAAGGAACAGAAACACAGTTGACCCAAGCCAATATGGCCCATCTTTCTGGGTCTCCTTCTTTTCCACTCCCAGAAGAGGTTTGGGCATAGGGATAGGGTTGTGGACAGGCTCTCAAGAAAACCCCGAGTTCTTCCACATCAGGCCTAGCTGAACTGCTTTTTTTTGAAGCCCTGGTCTGTTCATGAAATTAGTTCCAGGCCCAGTTACTGGCCAAATGACTACCTGGCCCATCCATGGGTATGAGGTGTGACATTTGTCTCCTGAAGTGGTGGCTCCACAGACTCTCTGAAGGTATTCATGTGAAGGTTTGAGACTTTCCCTCAGAAATGAGTATAAGACCTGGGCCTAAAGAGAAAAAAGAAGAAGAATAAATTATATGTAAAGACAGAGTACAATGCCAGTCATTATAAACTATTAGGCCATGAACTAAAGGGAGAACTGAAGGCAGGAGGTCTACAGTGGAGGACATCTTTGGACCTAGGAGCTTTCCTGAGCCATCATGTCATTCCTTGAGTAGCTGCCACGTTGGCCTCCTTATTGGGCCTTAGGCAAGGGGACATACAGGGTCAGAGAGCTGGCCTTGGGGAATTTAGACACTTGGAGATTTCTTGGGCCAAAGTTGACAGCTAGGCAAGTTCCTGTCTAGCCTTAGGTTGCTTCCTGGTCTTGGAGTTGTCTCTTGAAAGTGACAGAAATGGTGGAGAAATGGTATATAGCTGTCTGTGCACCTGAGTTAACCATACCCAAGTTGCACCCTTTGACCTAGACGAAAGCAATAAACAATGAGCATCTGTGCAGGCAGGATCCAGGATGTCATGTGGTCCAGACCTTACCATATGCTTATGATGGTGGGTGGGATGTGGTTGTGTAGTGTCAAGTAGGGCAGGGATGTGTCAGACTCTGCCTCGTGAGTTAGGCCATTGCCTAATCGTCTGGTCTTCCCCAGCCTGGCTGTCACCACTCCTCTCTCTACATCTTATTCTCTGGGCTCCAAAGCTTTCCTTTTCCAAGACAGACTTCCTTTCTAGCTCAGGAGGTATTTCTCATTCTTCTCTCTGCTTCAGGTCTTTTCTAGAGACAGAGGCATATTTCAATGTCCAGACTGTGCCAGTTAGCACAGCACAGAGCCTCTAATTCCTGTCCTCAATTATAAGGGCTCTCATTGTTCTTGTGCTCCTATAACCAGCCTCTCCCTGAAGAGACAGATGTGGTAGCTGGGACAATTGTGTTAGCCGCGGTTGACATCTCTGGAGGATGGGATTTCTGGAAGGGTGATTGCCCCCCTTCCTATCCCCTCAGTTTCATAGACTGGGAAACTGGTTTTGAGTAAGTGGAGGAGTAAATGAGGAATCAGGCAAGGCAATGAGGGGAGTGTGTGAATCAATGAGGAAGCTGCCCAGAGGCTTAGCACCAGCCAGGTCATAGCACAGTGAGATGATGCCTTCTTCCTTCCATGGGGCCCTCAGTTTAAGGCCTGGGTGCCGAATATTTACATGATGTGGCTTTCTGTATCATTCCTGATTTCTTGAGAAGAGGGAGTGGCAAAAGACCCTACTTCAGCTTGTGTGTGAGACTGAGAAGGGGGGTGGGGAAAGGTGAGAGCTTTCAGAAATTGGGAGCACAGCCAATCACAGGAAGGATTCAACCTCCACCATTGACAGTTTAAAGTTGTGTTGATCTGTCTGAGTATTGGTCATATCCACAGACCTCTCCAACTTATCTACCTACTTGATTACTTATTATCTATCTATTCATCTATCCATCATCCATCCATCCATCCATCTATCCATCCACCCACTATTCTGTCATGTATTCATCTATTAGCTCATCTGTCCTTCTGTCTGACCAGTTATTATTCTCTCCACTTGAATATGTCTCACTCATCGTCTATCCTTTCATACATCCATACAGTGGGATCTTCTGAGCACCAGGACCACTGTTAGGGAATCAAAGTTGATTCTGGAAAATCAAAGAAGTGCCATTATGGTCCCTGCTACTGGGAAATATATAGCTGAATAACAGGGTATTGTTCAAAGCCAAAAACCAAACGGCCTATCTGTATTATGTATTGGTTTTTACCTCGGAACCAGTTTTGATCAACCCACTGGAGTAGCAGATCTGGACAAAAATGGAGTCTGAATATATCTTAGCTACAGGACCAGTGTCTCACAGTAGGAACTTGATAAGTATTTGTTGAGTGGAGCACCCTCAAGGGCAGGGTGGGCTCAAGGGAGGACCAGACCAAACTTTCTTGGAGGAAATTCACGGTTGTGGGTTTGGGGCTCTCACTGTTTAGAGAAAATCTGGCAATTCTCACCCGGGATGTCTTGAAGCTGAGCCTCTAGTAGATGAGCTTGGAATCTCTGAGTTGGGTTGCCATAGTGGAGCCGGACAGTTTTAGAGTGGTAACTGGATAACCTCCAGTGTCAACTTCAGCTGGCAGCCCATAAGTGGATGGTCTCGGGGTTGTCGTGGCTTGGAATTATCTGACCCAACCAATATCGTATCATCTGAGGATTCCTGGTCCAAAGATGGAAAGTGCCCACCTAGAGTCATATGCAGACCTTGACCAAAACCCAAGCTCTCGGTCCCAGCCAAAGGTTTTCTCCTCCCTTTGTCTTCTTTCTTTAAATATTTTTTTCTCTTTTTAAGTATTTGCTTTTAAGTAAGGATAGACTCCCCCACTCCATTTTTCTCCTTTTCTCTCCCCCATTCCTGTTCTTACCTGTATCCTAGACTGGCCTTGAACAATCTCTCTGCCTCAGCCTCCAGAGTGCTCCATAGTGTGAGCCACCATGCCTGGCGGAAGGCTCTTCTTTGATGGTCAGAAGCCAGGAGGGGGAAGGCCCATGTGTCCTCCATCCCATTTATGGATTTGTTTGAGCTTTAGGCTTATCTGTACCTGAAGTGACGAGAGGGACTTCTCAGGCCAACCAGGATTCTCCTGCCTGCCCCAATTGGGTAGTCTCCTTTTAGCTAACCCCTGCAGTGGATTCAGCTGGAAGTAGGCCCAGAGGACTAAACTGAGATCAGAGCAGTGTGCATCGTAGTCAGTTGTTAGCCTGGACAATGGGAAGCAGGTTTTATGGCTGATGCAAGGCTGCCCTGGGG